CTAGATCTATACTCTTAAAACAAAATGCGCCTCGCGAAATATCCTTCCGGGTTTTCTAAAATTACAGAGACAGAAGCGTCGGCCTACAAAAGCGATCGGCGAAATTAAGAAGTTTAGCTTTTTGTAGCAAAACTGTCTCAAAACTGAAAAAACGAAGGGTGCCATGATCTGGAGAACATTTTTAAAAATATTTTGGCGCAAACCGCATGTCGATCGATGCAGCCATTAAAAAGCCTTTAGAATAGCAAAATTCAGCCACCACAAATAGATAATAGATACAAGCACACAAACCCCACTATTTTCGGCTTCTCACGCCGAATTCACTACTATAAAGACTTCAAACACCACTCATATTATTAAGGGTCGTATTGTGAGTAATTTGCAATCATCTATTTTGTGGATGAATCTTGCAGTTGCCACGGTAACGGTGGCCATAAAGGAAAATGAACCATTTTTGACGTGTTTTTTAAATCTCGAAAAGTCAAGACGTCACAAGCTTTTTCGGTTACATGTAGAAAAAATATTTTTTTAAATTAGTCATTGAAAAATTTTAAAAGCCTTAGATCTAGATCTAGATCTAATCTAGATCTATTTTTTAAAACTTACAAACATCAATAACTTATTAACTTTAAGTAGAAATAAGATATTCAAAAAGCATGTGATATCTTGCTTAGCTTTATTTGGACCACATCTCTGCCAAGTTTCATTTAAATTTAAATCTATTCTTAAACTTCTGACTTTAGCAAAAATTGTACAGAAAAATATGATTTCGAAGAAAATGCCATTTTAATTCAAAATTTGTTCTCAGAAATAGTAAATCACTACCTTTCAAAAGCATTTTAGAAGAAATATTTTCTATTTGAGGCTTAACAATACTTGGGGAAATGACACAATAGTGGCTAAACTAAAGGATAAAACAAAATTTTGAAGCCAAACCCTCATTTCAGGTGCCATCTTTTAGCTATAGCTATAATAGCCCAAGGTAGATCTACTGGTCTTAAAAATACTGGGATAGTGTTTCAAGTATGTCTAAACCACGAAAACAACCGCAGTAGTGTTTATTGACGAAGAATTATGATAGTATTTTTGGTGTGGGTAGTCAATCTGGCGTGTACGCGGTAGTGTTTTTAGCTTAGAGATAGTGTTCTTAGCGTACGCCAAAGTCACTAGGGTAGTGTTTACAGCATGTGCAAAAATCACTACGGTAGTGGTTATGGCGTGAAAGCTTACGCCAAAACCACTACGGTAGTCTTTATTGCACGGTAGTGTTCTGAGCGTGTTACACCGGTCCTACATCCCGCTCAGTTGCGTCGGTAGTGAGACTTTTTTTTTTTTTTACTGGAGAAGCGAAACATATTTTTACATTACATGTATTATAATTCGTTCCCCACCACATGCGTCAAGCCACCCAGGGCTTAGGTGATTTTATCGGCCTGCGAGAGGTC